TCCTTTCCCTTCCTATTCTTGTGATTAAGGGAAAATGTGCAAAATGGGACTCAAACTCCTACGCACACCATAGGGTGTTCTTGACACCCTGCAGATCCTGAGATATGGAAAAGACAATTGGTATTAAGAGTTCTTAAAGAACACAAGCAAAGAACAAAAAATAAAGAAAAAACATGCAAACGCTATTTTTCTGCAGAGCACACAGTGCACAAGTCCATGGCAGTTCACTAATTCACACAGCTCATCCTTTGAGACTCACCTAAAATAACTGAAGGCTTACATGACATTAAATGTATGTACAGCATGAATCCTTATTGCTGAGATAGGATAGATTTTGCCACCACAGGCATAAACATTTGTGTTCTTTCTGTCATGTTGGACTGATGAGGAGTTGCTCTGATCTGCTCAATGACCTTCACTGAAGAACCCCAACTCTGAATTGCATGGGGGAATTAGCATTCCTCACCAGTTGCAAGGAATGCATCTGCAAAGAAAAAATTTCTTCAAAAACTAATTATCATAATTCAAAAGAATCAGTAGTTCTGCAGAAACATTTTGCTCAGAAACAAGATGGCACGTGAGCCAGGAGGGGAGTTCAGCAGCAAGACTCAGTCCTGACAGTTAACATCCCACTTGCCTCTTGCACCAGGTAAGGTTGAGAAGCAAAAGCAGCAAAGAACAGGAAAAAGGTTTTCAAATGTTTGGGCAATAGATTTGTACCGAGCAAAATGCACTTGCTCCCACTGCAAGCACAACTCCCACAGACACAAAATACACAGTCTTTTTTTTTCCTCCTCCTGTATTCAGCAGTGTGTTTAACCTTGGAGCTGTCAAGCTCCATCATGAATAATGAGCCATGACAACACTCCAAGTGATCCTTGGAGAACAGACCAATTTTTCCAATATGCTATGCAAGGAAAAATGCTTGTATTCCCATGGTACAGTACCTGCTTTGAAAATATACAGTAATGTGGCCATCAAGAGGAGACCACAAGTAAATACAGAAAAAAAAAATATTTTATTTCCCAATAGTTTAGCACCTAAAAAAACAAAAGATTTATTTCCCAATATTTCAGCACCTAAAAAGAAGCAAGAGCAATAAAACACATAACATCCCAAGGGTTCCTCTTTAAAATTATACGGGGACTGAGGATATTTGTCTCACTGAATATGCATTTCACACAACCATTTCACAGCTGAGGAATATCTGCATTTGAAAAAACCCATGACAGCTACAGCATGAAGAGAGAACACCCTGCAGGTTTCACAGCACTGTGACCTCTAGAAAATGAGCACCAACAAGGGACACAGGGGTGGCCTCCACCCCGAGCAGCCCCAAACGCTCCCAGAACAAACACAACCCCCACCCTACACACCCAGCACTGCCAGAAAGGGTAGGAAAAATGCACTTATCTGAATGTCCGACTGAAGATCCTCTACACCAACACCCTAACCATGGCAAGGCAGGTCTTTCAGAAGGCACAGCACAGGTAACCAAGCAATAGCAAGTCATTTCTGCTGTGCACCTCTCAAGCTCAAGGGGAGGAGGAAGACAAAGATTTAGATAAATCTTTAGATTTACCTAAAGAAAGGAAAAACTAGGAAGAAACAAGCTGAAGACCTAAACAGGCATTCCCTTGTCTCTTAAACAACGATGGAGGGTTGTGGTCGCCCTTAAAACACCTTCCCTCACTCCTGAAATAAATGCTAATGCAATAACATTAACCGGGAAGACACCATGTTCTCTAACAGCTCAAGCAGCATGCATTTCGCCTGGGCTTCTGCAAGGTGGAAAAACAAATGTATCCTTATTCCTGAGCTGTTTGCAACAAGGTATTTGTCCATGGCTTTGTAGGGGGATAAGCTTGCCTTTATTTCCGTGTCACTTCTTAGTCTTGTTGCCACAACTGAAAACACAGTGCATCCCTTTTTCCTCCCTGTAGGGACACTACTTTACTTACAATTCCGTTTCAATTATTGCCTTAAACTACAGGAGCTTTCAAAAAGCTCTGTAGAGCAGGAAAGCAACAATGTCAAACCTGTGATGCTTGTCTTTCCTTAAGCTGTGAAGTTGGCAGTGTCAGACAGCAGAAAACAGTTCTGAGCATTTAGAGGAGTTTTAAGTGCTAACACATCTCCCTCCCACCAAGAGGCCTTCTCTCAAGACTAGATGACTCTGAAAGAGCTGGAGTCAGAAAATCCCTGGAGTTAAGATCTGGACTATGGCTGAAGCTGGAGAGAAGATTCTAACACCAAAGCAGTAGTTACACATGGTAATGTATTTATTGGCAATTTAACTTTTCCCTGGGGAGTCTAGCCACACATATCCCTCCTCCACCTGCTCTCCCTCTCCTCTATTCACCTCTTCCATGTCCAGGGCATTTCACAGCTATTCCCATCACACAAGGTCTATCCTTCCCCTGAAGCACTTCCAAATGAGCAAGACCTGTGTTGGCACCACACACAACACTACCATTGTCTCTGATTCAAAACAGTTCCGCTCTTCGCAGAGTACTCACTGTATACTCAGAATCACGCCTCAAATTACAGGATCAGTAATTTTCTCTCTAGCATCACAGTTAAAATGCCCTCAGCCCTCCCCATGCCCCAGGTTCATTTCTCCCACTCCCTGACAACACACCACCATTTATGCCTCACATCACAGCTCTGCACATTTAGTATTTCCATTCCCTGCTAGTAATATTTGGCAATAAGACTCTTTAAAGAAGGCTAATTACATATTTCACTTGAACAGAAATTGGTACTGGGCCAATCTGTAAGCTGTTTAACAAGCTCTCAAACTTCACATCAGGAAAGACTTTGTTCTCTACCAGGAGCAGCAACATAGCTATAAAGCAAAGGTGGAAAACTTTGCCATTGCAAGGTGAGGAAGGAAGGCCACAGATCTGATTCTCCTTGCAGCACTGCACCTTCTCCATGCAAGACTTATCTTGAAGAGACACTGCCTGTGTTTCACAAAAGGAAAACTAAGGAAGCCAGTTCAGCTTCCATGAACATAATGAAAAGTAGTCACCAAAACAAAACAAAAAAAAAAAAAAAAAAAAAAAAAAAAAAAAACACCACCACCAGTTAATAGTTGTATCAGAAATAGAACAAAGACCAGTATGACAGAGAACAGGTCAAGGACTCAAAACTCAAAAGCTAGGAATTGGAAAAATTCAGGATGCCTGGTTGCATGCATGCATGAAGCATGTCATTTTCTGAGAACAACAGTATCTAGTTTTCAAAGGGATGGAAGAACTCAAGTTAAAGTCTCTCAAGCACCTCAGCATCCAGTCCCATACCAGAACAAATGTTTTCTGCCTGTTTATGTCAGACTTACCACAGAAAACAGTAATCCCATCTGTGGATTCTCCTTATCACTTTTTCTCTGTGCCCACAACACCTGGTGAAATAACATTTCAGCCAGACCACTTATCTGAGGGGAATTAATGCAACATTCTGCAAACCACCCTCTGTGCTAATGAGGTGAGCTAACCCTGCTTGATAACCAGGGTAGAACTGAAAAGGGTAAAAGGAGGAAGTGATGGACAACAGAAAACTAGTCCTGCTTTAAGGATGAAAGACCAGTGTCCAGGAAAACTACACAAGAGTTTTCTGTGTGAGATTCAACACAAGTCGTCATTTTTCCCTGGGGCCAGTGACTATATGGCATCACATGGAGATGTCACACCTGATACACTGAAACACTGCTGTCAGACTGGCTGACTGCCTAGAGAATCCCAGCTGGAATCTGTGGTAACCAGGCACACCAAGTACACAGCTGTTGGGAAGTCTCCAACTGTGAGCTCAACCCACAGGCACTTAAAAAAAAAAAAGAGTTAAGAGTGTTACACATGTAAAGCACACACATTAATAATGTCTATTTGACAGAGACTAAACCCATAAATATCTACTACATCCTCAGATTTTAACATACCTAAAGGTTTTCCCCGTTAGGGGATGCCATGCTAAAAGAATGACTTGTGGCAGTAAGAGACTCTTCTACACACAGGCAGGCTTTAAGAGGCCAACAGAATCACTCTTGCAAAAGTGGCACACATCTGCCCCATAGACACCAGATTTTCATCTTGGGGACATCTTTGGGGGCAGGAAAACAGAGTCATGGCACAACTGCAAAGCATCACACAGTAATTTGGAGAGGCAAACCACAAGTTTGACCACTGCCCAACTCCTAAAAGCTGAGAGCATAAAAGTGGGAGGAAAGGAGCTGTCTTTTTCCACACTTATTCTCTGAAGTAACCATGCAGGTTTCACTGAAATGCTTTCAGTCCCTTCCAACTGAAGACAGACCTAGCAGGAAGAACTTACCCTAGAACCTCAAGATTATCAAAATATGGGTACCTGAACATACACTACCACAACAGGGAACAATAAGAAACCCAACATGTGTTAATAGATGCTCTAATCATTAATGTGCACACACACAAAACTTATCAGAAGTGCCAAGGCATTTGAAAGAGCAAGCATTATGCAAAGATAGATATTCGCCAGCAGTTGTATCACCACCATATTGTCTAGCTGAATTTGACTGAACTCAGTGGACATCAACTTAATCCCACAGGACAGTGTCATTCACTTCTGTAATAGCCACTGACCTTATTTCTGTGAGCCCTGTTGTAGTGTCATGACTAAATGTGGCAAGCAGCAAATCTCACTCTGTCAGCAGCCAGTGCCTGTCTTTTCTCCTCTTGAAGCTTCCACTCATTTCTGCATTTTTTTTCAGTCATGCTGCTTCAAAACAGCTGATCCAGATGGTGGGTATTTGGATTTCAACCTTGCCACATGGTGATGTGGCTCAAGAAAATAAAAACTGTTGCTACCTGCTGCTGACCTACTTTAATTTGTTTCCTGCCAAATGACAGAATAAACAACACAGTTCATTGAACTTGTTTTCCACACCTAGCCACTGCTATGTAGAAAATATAAAATAAAACTAATAGAGGAAGAAGGAAAGAGGGAAAAAAAGCAGCATGAACCAGTGGGGAGCAGGGAGGAGCAATTCTCACCTCTATCATAGTCATCTTCCTCTACTGCTTTTTCCTGAAGCCTCTGAAGCCGTAAGATCAAGGATTTTAACTATGCAAAGAAAAAAAGTTAGTTAAGAAGAAGCTGCATTAAAAAATATATAACTATAAACTTCTATGCAATATAAATTTAATGGATTACTACATCACTACAATGGCCAAATTTTGATGGTTAAGCCCAGTATTTATTAAGTAGACAGACCTATTTGGAAGTCATCTGAACTGCAGCTACTTGAGCCAAGCATGGCTTTAGTCCAAACACACACAGAGAATAACAAATGATATTTCATGAAAGCAAAGGTGATCATGCGATGGTAGGATATTTTTCACCCTTTGAATAAATGAAAGTATGATTATTAGAGAAGTCTGTCAGCATGATATCAACTTCTGGTCACATTGTACTCAACAGTGTGTTCCCAAGCTCCTTCTGACAATTTTGTACCTGAGTTTTGCAGAGAACAAATATAAACCTTCTATATGCAAACCACGTTTTATTCTGTAAACAGAAATGCAGTATGAGTACTTTGGAACAGGTGTATTGATGTTATGGGACAGAAAAGAATGTTAATTTGCAGCCAAAAAAACTTTCCTTAAAACACAATTTAGGCTCATCTACATAATGTCGATATTTGCATTTTCACAATGCAAATGCTAGATGAGGAAAAAAAGCAGAACACCAAGAATACCCAAACCACATCCAAAGTACACATTCTCACATTCCAAAAGAAACTTACCACAATAAAGTTTTATTTCAAAAGTTAATGATTCTCTTTGTTAAATTTACTAAGATTTTGTAAGACCTTTACAAGTTTTTACTGTTAAAAGAAATTGGTTAGAAGGTAGGTTTAGTCCTCTCCTCACTGCCATGACAGCCACAGCCTTACACAGCTGCAGTTACAAGACTGGAATAAGGTTCTTATTAAATTTATGCATGACCTGTACCAAACAAGCCACTATCAGCCCTGAAAAAGGTGAGCCTAGAGAAAGAAGCAGTGTATATCCTCAAACTCCAAAGCCTGAAAGTGCTTGGGAGAGCACTAAAATCCATATTTTAGACATCCTTAAGAAACCTTAAATATTTCCCTCTCCCTGAAGCTCTTTCATATTTAATCCTCATATTTAAACTCTAAGTTGCATACAGAAAAACAGGTACAGCCAGTCAACAAGTTAATAGAAGCACTCAGTTATCAAGACTAAACATCAGCACACAAATTAGACAATCAACACACAAGCCTTTAAATTCAGGATTTCCCTCTAAATATGGTATGTGAAAGTAGACTAGTAAGAAAAGAGCTAAAAAAAATAAAGTCAGGAAAGTATCCAAAAATGTTTGATTATTAATAGGCTAAAGGATGCTACAGAAGAAAAACAAACACAAAACACTGTATACATTCCCATTTCTTCCATGCTTTACTTTATTTTGGTTTTCATTTCCTGAAACTCCAATTTTTTTTTCTCTGAGGCTAGTGAGGAATGCAAATGGTATTGAAGGGAGGAGCTCTGAACCCTCAGCATAAATTATTTTCTGTGTTTTATGCCTGACTTTTTATAGAGTTTTAAAGAGGCTTGCAGTAGGAATGATTCAAGTGACACTTTTTTCATATACACTACGTACAACAACCACCTATACTGAGAGTACAGCTTTGCTGCTGCTGGCAGTGTTTATTCCATCACGCCCTACAGTGGCAGGTCATTTAAAGTCTGCCTGGGTACCACAGCCCAGGCACGCCCACGGCAAACTGACTGATGCTGCTCTGTAAAGTGCTTTCTATTGGCAGGCTGGGAGACATTTGGAGCTCAGCAAATCAAAGACCTGCTTGTGCTTCAGCATGGCATGTCCTAGAGGTGTACCAGATGAAGATCAATTTTTAAGTACAGAGAAAGCATAATTTTAACAACTTTGGTATTGTCTCCTTTTCTTGACTACCTTTGCCTTTGTTCCTTTCTGAAAACTTTGAGACTCTACTCATTATCATTACAATAGGAAGGTGCTTCAAATTCAACATACACCACTGGCTAACCAAGGGCAAAGATATCTAAGGGCACAAATCTCCAGTTCTCTATTCAATGTATTAATGAATATAGAAATTAAAGATAGCAATGTCTCTTTTGTGCCTATCAAATAAGCAATACTGAAAAGAAAGAAAAATAATTTCCTATTTTGATTGCGTTATACATTCCCAAATTTGCAGTGAATTAATTTCCCAAACCATCTCAGACAATGGGCACACTTCAATTCCAGGCATGAAAACAAAGAAACTGTTCCATGTAAATGTGTGTGAAGTCTGTAAATAAGAGAACCTAGTTTGAGTTCTACACATATCATCCATGAAAATAAAGTATTACAGAGCACTGCAAGCCCAGGTCAGACATCATGGTAAGCAAAGAAAGAACAAACCTTTCTCAGCCTTCTGTCTTACCCAGACAGGAGGTCTGTGCAAAGTCTCCCCAGAGCAGGTTGTTTCATTAGGCCTAAAGGCCATACAGCACATCTCACCGGGTATGTGTCTGAGCTGAGAAGTTAAAAAGATCTGAGCTTCTGAAAGGCAACCAAGAAACTCGGGCACTAGTGAGACAATTAAAATAAAATTTAAAAAAAAAAAAAAAAAAAAAAAAAAAAAAAAAAAAAAAAAACACAAAACCAAAAAAAAAAAAAACAACCCAAACAACTCAAAAAAAAAATGCCACTATCATTTGTTCAGTACACCTTGAACAAATTAGTACAATCCATTGTGTCCATATTAATTTCTAGATTAATGTTTCCTGTGTGCACAATAAAGCCAATACTTGGCTCCTTTGATCAGGTAAGCTCAGAATGCCCACGCTACCACCATAAAAATATTACACAGATGATCCTTCCTAAAGTTTCCCCACCCCGCTCCTACAAAGAGCACAGTGAAATGACACTGCCTGTATACACTGTAGGTATAAATGTAGGAACATACATATATGCAAAAAGACTCCTGACTCACCAGCCCACTACTCCTCTAGGGTGGAAGGGGAAAAGAAAAAAAGGTTCAGTTCCCAGCTGGAGACAGAGAGGGACTTGACCCTCCTTTGTCTTCACGTGGGGAGATCACTTATCAGATTACACACTACTTTCACAAAGTTGCCTAATTCTTAGAAGTCTTTGGCTCAACTTCAACATTTCCAGTTAAAAAGCTTAGTGTTGTTAAAAAAAAAAAAAAAAAAAAAAAAAAAAAAACCACAACCCAACAAAACAAAAAACAACCCAAACAACTCAAAAAAAAAATGCCACTATCATTTGTTCAGTACACCTTGAACAAATTAGTACAATCCATTGTGTCCATATTAATTTCTAGATTAATGTTTCCTGTGTGCACAATAAAGCCAATACTTGGCTCCTTTGATCAGGTAAGCTCAGAATGCCCACGCTACCACCATAAAAATATTACACAGATGATCCTTCCTAAAGTTTCCCCACCCCGCTCCTACAAAGAGCACAGTGAAATGACACTGCCTGTATACACTGTAGGTATAAATGTAGGAACATACATATATGCAAAAAGACTCCTGACTCACCAGCCCACTACTCCTCTAGGGTGGAAGGGGAAAAGAAAAAAAGGTTCAGTTCCCAGCTGGAGACAGAGAGGGACTTGACCCTCCTTTGTCTTCACGTGGGGAGATCACTTATCAGATTACACACTACTTTCACAAAGTTGCCTAATTCTTAGAAGTCTTTGGCTCAACTTCAACATTTCCAGTTAAAAAGCTTAGTGTTGTTAAATCATGATACTTCAAGAGTTCTTACCACCTCCTAATTTTATACTACTTATAACCCAAACTGCAGACAAAACAGCCACCTGTGAAAAGAAATGGTACTTACTGAAGTCAGAAACTGATGTGTGATGTTAGAAATGAGAGGATTAAAGTTTCAGCAGAACATAGAATAGGGTACTGCAAAAATATCACCTATTTTTAAAGAACCAAACAAATCCTGTTATCTCATTTTTATCATGCAGAGATCTACTGTAAAACTCTGAACAAAGGCCACAAAAGCCTGTAGTATCTGAACTCCTATGTAAACTTTGATTTTGGCACTACAAATAAAATGTTTTGAGGAAAAGGTATCAAAAACAAAGTGAGACTACTGACCTTTAAATTACTGCGGTTGCCAAGCAAGCAATCCTGTAGCACCGGTTCATATTTTTTCATCAAAGTATCCCAGTTATGGTCACTGACAGTAAAGCTACTTTCATAGCCTGAGGTGACAGAAGAGCCAGCAGATGCTGCATCCGAGGAATCTGTAGAATATGAAAATGTTGCATCTATATCCAAGAGAGAGACAGACTCACAGTCCTGTAATTTGTTATTTACTGGGCTCTCACGTTCATGCTGCAAATCTTCACCAGAACTGGAGGAGCAACACAAATCTCCCAAGTGCTCATGAGTTTGTGCCATCTCTTCTGGCTTCTGCAGATTGCCTGTGGTTTTGGGATGCAGAACAATCTCATCTTCCTCAATAGATTTGCCTTCCACATCATTTACTCCAGAGGCTGCGTTCAGGGAGAGCTGTATGAAGCTGAAACTTGATCTAAAGCTATCCTGTGCACCGGCAGAATGAGAAATACCATCTCTATTTTGATATTCACAGTTGTTATTCACTTCTGTCTGATCCAAAGCATACATGTTTGGGGGCTTGCTCACTTTGGTGCCGCGGCTTTTCTGCCACGTACAGCACACAGCAGAAGCATCTCCTTTGCCTGTTGTGGCAGCAGGGCAGACCCCTGTCCCTGTGCTATCTGACCGTGGACCATTGCAACAGGAAAGATTTTCACAGCATCCTGGAGCGTTCCCAGTAGCGGCCAAGGTTGTCACCCCATTAGCAGGAGCTACAGCACTACTCGCTGCACTACAGCGCAGGAACTCCAAGTCATTTTGGCACTGTCTGTGCAGAGCACAGCCCTGGGGGCCTCCGCAGAGCTGGCTGCCATGCTGGAGCTCTGCTGGGCTGCACCCTGCACAGGCACCCGCGGACTGGAACTCGATCTGTCGCTGAGCTTCTGGCCTCATGTATCCAGGTTTTCTTGCCAGCTTCTTTGTACGAAGAGAGCCCGCTGGCATTAATTGCTGGCGATCAACTGGGAGGGGAGAAAAACTCAGTAAGTGTTTCTGCAGTTTTCTAGGCTTAACATACTGTGGTATCTGAAAATAGCTATTTCTGAAATTTCAAGCAGCGTATTGTTTTCCATTTCAACAAGACACAGACACTGACCATACTGCAGATAGAGAACACTCTGTGTATTCATTCGCCTTCTAAAGGGTTTGCGCCTGTTTTTAAGCAAGCTCACTAACAAGCTCCTCCATCAGGACACAAACCTGGTATCAATGTACAACCATCTCCCCTATTCACAATATCACTCTGCTTTTCCATTATATCACTCTGCTTTCCCATTCTCAACTTGCTTAACAGCACGCTGAAGCAGAAACTCGGTTTAAGTTTCTCTGATCCAAACTGATTTCAGACTTACAAGCACATCTAAGATAGGACTGAATCTGCACCCGCAATGTGAGAACCATGATCACAAAGAGGTTTTGTTCAGTTTCTTGTGCCCATGCCCATGTTTTAACACTATGAGTAGCAAATGGCTCAGGCTCTGCTGCCATAACAGATACAACTGTAGCACCCTGTGGTTGCAGATGTCGGTCTAATGACATGCTGCACAAGTTGTCATTTAGATTTATGATACTACCTATTGTCCAAATGTAAAGTTGAAGGAAAAGCTTTGCATGAAGAATCACCAATCCTAGAAAATTATTAATTTGTAGCATTACTAAAGTATTAATATCATTAAGAAGGAACCTCTGCTCAGTAACTTGATTTCCTTACACATACCTTACTTACACAGACGAAAAGATAAATTTGTTGTTTGCAGAGACAGGAAAACAAACAAAAAACCCCACGCAAACAAGATAAAAATACCACAGTAAACATTAAAATTGGGAGATGGGAATTTAATTGTTTTCTGTATATTTTTATATATGCATTATTGGTAAAAGATTACATGATGACTACTTTCATTCTCTCATGTGTTTACTGCTAGTTAAAAGGTGTTCCATTTTTCTGTCCTGTACAATGAGAATCAATGGGAATACAAGGTCTGCACTATCATCCATTTTGTAACACAAAAAGATATTGACTGCACCTATTTGCCAGAATCACTCTTCAAGGGGATCTGATGCCTAGCTGAATTATGCCCTCTATTAGCTGCCCTCTACTGACAGAAACAGAATCAACTGGATGTTGGAAATATTCATATCACCCCCACAGAGCCCTTACAAAAACACAAGCTTCTGATTTTTTTTCTTTACATTTAACATTCCTCTCTAATCACAATCCTTTGTCAGTTTTTACATTGATGGATATGCGCATAATCTAAATTCCTCAGCAGCTCCTAACACAGGCCTCATACACACCTCACTATGATGACATCCTATATAAGAATTTAAGCATTTGAACCAAAACTTCCCAGGAGAATTTTCCCAACATTCATTACATTCTCTCCAAATAACCTCCAACAAAAGCAATTTATACATTTTCTATATTCTAGAATAGTGGCACATCTCACCATGGGACTGCAGTTAAGCCCCTGTATTCTGCTTCCTATCACCATAAATTAGAATATCCCAGCACTCTCTTATATTCTCTTTTGTCTGAGGAAAAAAAGCATCACAGAAATCAGAAGTAAAAAAGGTCATGGAGTCCATCAGCCTGTCTACTATAAAAAGACAGCAAAATGCTGTTCTGGGAGTAATTTAATAGAAGTCTTAACAAACAGGAATCATTCTCAGAGCAAGGGAACAAAAACTGAACAGAATGTTCTTTAAAATTTCATTCTTTTGGTTTATATACAAAACAATAGGCTAAATTTTACTTCAGCAGAAGAAATCAGTCATGCATCAGAGTCATTCTAAGGCTGCATATAGTCCATGGCCATTTAAAAAGGCCTCATCTGTAAAAACATAAAAGGTTCTCCGGTTTAATTAAAATCAGTTTAAAATTGATCTCACTAAGTCACTATGAATTTCTAAAGTAGACAGACAGTTAGAGCTCTTTAAACACCAAATTTAAACTAAGCCAATGTAAATAAGGTTTAAATCAGCCACAACATTAGATATTCACACCAAGTGAACTGGATGCAATTCTAAAAATTATTGGAGCCAAAGGGGTCCAATTCCAGTGTCCTGAATGAGATCACACACAGCCCACACATCTCTGTGCTCCTCACAAGGTTCACAGACAGCCTCTAGACAGGTTTGGCATTCTGCTCCTTCATGGACTCCAGGTCCCCCTCCTGGTGAGTCCATCCAGCAGCACAAACCACTCACCTGGATACCAGAGCAGAGTTACACTCTGAATGCCCAGGAGGAGAGTTAGGCCAAGCCACGAGGCATCCAGAGGATGCTACAGGGAGAGAGCTGCAATGTGGCCCCAGTGTGGCTGCCCCTGAGAGCAAGGCAGAGTGGAGAGAGCTGGGACTGACATGAACATGGACACTCTCACCTTGCCCAAAGGATAAGGGGAAGCCTGATCTCCAGGTCCAGCTAGAGAGCACTCACAGCCATCACTCAGCCATCACAAAGCCCAGCCAGGAAGGTTCTATTGCCTTGGGTGTACTGTTTGGGCATTGTTTAACCTGGTGCCATGCCCCTGTTCTCAAGACTGGAATAATTTCAGTTGTTTATTATTACATTACATTATTATCTGAGATACAGTTCTATAAACTTTCTCTGCATAGCCTCCCAACCATAGCTTGCCTTGTCTGCCTGTCAGAGAAATTACACTGAACCAATTCAGCTGGCTTGTTACAAAATAAAAAGACAGGCCTTAAATTCTTGTCATCTCAGTTTGAAGAACATCAAATAACTGTTGGCAATTCACTACAAAATTATCCAAATGAAAACAACCAAAGGCAATTTAAAAACCCTACCCTACAGTGTGTCAAACATTGTATGAGACACACATTTAGAAATCTACAAATGGAAGAGCCTTTCAATAGTAATAATAAAAATCAAATTTTTAAAATCTATATTTTACAATCTTAGAAGACAATGTCACATATATTTAATGGCAGATATGTGCAAATTACTTCAAATTCAAATTATGAAAGCTCAGAAATATTCTTAACAGCTCTTTCACCACAGCAATCTTTCCTGGTGATCAACATTTCATGTACAATAGCTGTTCAGATCCAGAGCAGAGGGAAAAAGAAAAGAGTCTCTTGCTGTAAAGTCACATTGTTCACATCTTAGTTGCACCAAGTGAGGTGAAAGAGGGACCGGTGAAGCCTAAGAGCATTTCCTGATGGAAAGAGCACATTCTCTTGTACCCAGCCTGACACCAAAGGACAGCAAAACAGTAATCTAATTTATTTCAGATCATCAGTCTTTGTTCTCAGCCACAAAAGTAGCAGCTCAGAACCAAATGTTCTAACAGCATCTGTGGATGAAAAGGTGTAAATATCTTCAATTTTTGTTATTCCGGTAGAATTGTATAGATCAGTACAGAAACTCTGATGCCATCACCTTCTCACTCCTGCTATAAGCATGTGATGCAGAATGCTTGCAAGGTCATTTAAGCGCTCCCTGAAAGCGAGAAATTATAGATGCAGTTTTAAAGGTAGCTCAGCTATTTGAATACAACCAATATTATACACAGTTCATTTGTATTAGAATAACAAATTCATCCTCAGAGCACTTGTGGGTGGTAACTGTGATGTGGAAGAAAAGGTATTTGGTCATATTCAAAGCCAACTATCAAAGCACTGCTCCAAGCAATTTCTGTAGTGTTGCTTCTCTTAAAGTAGTCCCAAACACCTGCATCAAACTGTACACAAAGTAAGTGAGTTCCACATATTTATTATTTACAAACATGCACACATAAATGTTTAACCTATCAGAAACAAAAATGAACCATTCTTGGAGATAAATTTGACATGACAATAACCATTACTGTGCAGCTCCTATGTCACAGAAATATGTAAAATGCTGCACGTTCCTAATCAGTTACAGTTTGACTCATTTACTGAATTTCAAAGACGCCACTAAATATGCCAAATAAGATGGCACCGATCTCAACACGGCCTATGTTGAAACAAACAAGTACCACCTCTTTGCACAAACAAGCTTTCAAAGAAAGTCACTTTCGAATAAAGATTTTCGTAACTCCTAAAATTAAAAGGTCATGCTCAGCTTTTTCATCTCACCTACTGAGTGTTAACTGTAACTGTGGTTTATCCAAAGTTTTATAAAGTGTATCTACACAGGGAAGAATTGCTGAGTTACATTGTATTGGATAAAATGATACAAATTATTTCCTCACCAAGGTTTCCTGTGATTTCTAAGGTAACAGACTGGGTACAGTTACTCAACTGTTAGATTTCCAAAATATCGTAAATAACATATCCTCTGAGGTCATTAAATGCATGTCAGTTTCCATTCTCCACTAAAAAGCACTTCAAAGAGTTGAGCATTGTAAAAGCCAAAATGCTCTTCTTTAGCCAGGGTTTAAATAATTGTGTTTTTATTGACACACTCCCATAATGCATGTCATTGAGTTGTCACAATCAAGCCACTTACCTCCTTAATGCAACAACTCATTTTTAAGCCATTTGATGAAATTACAGCACATCTCTCTAGAATTAGAATCACATCAGCTGATATTAATACAGCCATCAAATTTTTCAGACCTCAAGAAATAAAAATAAAATTGAAAAAAAAAAAAAACAGTTTAAACTTGGTCTAGCCTTAACACTAAGAAAGAAAAAAAAGTCTACCAAAAAGTCAGTTGGTAAATAACAAACACTTCCCATGTCAGTAACAATCATCCCTTCCTTAATTACATATTTGTTACTAGAACTCACTTTCCAAATTCATCTCTGGTTGATCAGCCTCAATCCAATAATTCTCCAAACCTCCTGACACAATTCACGGATGTATTTCACTCAACACACTGATACCTGCCTTGGCCAGCTAGAACTGCCAAACTCACACCACCAGCTGCCTAACAGAACAGCTCCCAAGCTCCCCACTAACCCTACACCCAGCTCAGGGATCCATCCTGTCAGCCCATCTGTTGAGC